GTGCTGGGCGGGCGGGCGGGCGGGCTAGCAGGCTGTCAGCTGCCTCCGAGCTCCACTTGTTGTCTAATGAGTTCCTTCTGTTGCGTGTTGATGCAGTTCGTATGGCTCATGGTTGCAAGGAGAGATGTGTTATTCCCGAAAACTACAGCGCAGAAACGTGCGTGTAAGCCTTCAGAAAGGCCAAGCTGCAGCCTGCGTGTACGTCTTCGTGGGAAACAGGAATGATCCATCTAGGCTGCTATTCCAAAAAGCACTTGAGAGCATACTTGACCTTAGGTGCTTTTCCTGAATAAAGATGCCTTCCTGGATGAAAGCCTTGAAAAGAGGAAAGCTAGCAGCTATTGACAAGCTTTTTGTTCCTTTCCCCCAGGTAGCCATGGTGGAGGTGCAGCTGGAGGTGCAGTACAAGTACCCCCAGATGCTGCTGATTGCTTTCAGTGCCTGCACAACAGTGCTCGTGGCAGTTCATCTCTTTGCCCTTCTCATCAGCACCTGCATTCTGCCTAACGTGGAAGCAGTGAGCAACATCCACAACCTGAACTCCATCAGTGAGTCCCCGCATGAGCGCATGCATCCCTACATCGAGCTGGCGTGGGGCTTCTCCACCGTCTTGGGGATCCTCCTTTTCCTTGCGGAAGTCGTGCTTCTGTGCTGGATAAAATTTCTGCCTGTGGGCTCCATCCTGAAAAATGAGACCACCAACGTCGAGAAGCCCAGCAGCCATGCGGGTTGGCAGTCAGCACTGGTCTCCACCATCATCATGGTCCCAGTGGGTCTGATTTTTGTCGTCTTCACCATTCACTTCTACCGTTCTTTGGTGCGGCACAAAACGGAGCGTCACAACCGAGAGATCGAAGAGCTTCACAAACTGAAAGTGCAGTTAGACGGGCATGACAGAGGCATGCAGGTAGTGTGACAGAGAGGCAGAGGCTGCTTCCAGCAAATCCGCTCAGCTAAGGCTAAGAGCAAAATACCTGTTTTGCTAGTTGGTGAGACGCACCAGCGATGGATTGTCTTGAGGCTTCAATATGTAAATGCTAATTGCCTGCCATATATAGCTGTGGGTTCTAGTGCTGTTTCAGATGCTGGGGTCCCTGGCCTGTTTCTGGTCCTACACACTCGCGTACTTAGGTCAACACTGCCACGGAGTTCAAGGTCAAAACTTTATCTACCTTAACATCGGTTCAGGTAGCCAAAAATCTGTATTTTTTACAAATGCAATATTCGGTGGCCAAAAGTAAAACTGCATCAGCTGTCCAAAAAGCTGGGGGGGGTGTGTAGGACCTGTCTTAGGTGTCAGAACTCCCTGGCTGTCAGTGCAGCAGCAATTAACTGGCAGCTCGTTTCTAGAGCTGAGCTGCGTAATGAGGGTATCTGCAGCTGACTTGAGGACATCCAGGAAAGCACAATAGAAACTGTGAGTGTTGATCACCTCTGTTCCAAAGCAAGTGTTCCATAAATACATAACCAGAAAGAAATCAGCCTTAGCTTTTATGTTCTTTTCTTGCTATTGCTTACTATATTTTTACAGCTGGGGAGGTAGAATTTCGAGTTGGAGGAGGCTGGGAAGTTCTGTCATACTTTCTTCAGCAGCATCTGTCACTTTAGATTGAATGAATGCCAAGATCATGTGTTTTTTCCCAATAAGAGGCAAGAGTGCCCAGGGAAGGCTTACAGGTGTTTTAGTTTTAACAAGGACATTCTTAAAACAGAACAGTGACAGGGAATTTAATGAGACAAAACTTTGAAGGACTAGAAAAGCAAGGTTCAAGGAGGTAAGGAGTGACAGCATATAGCATATTGTAGAAATCTGTCGCTGTGTCGTCTTCCTTTATGTATTGTTGCAATGTCTTTGCCTGGTTTGCTGGAGAGAACAAACCCCAGCCCTGTGTATTTCACCAGTTGTTTGAGGGTTTTTTTGTCAGCTGTAGCATTTGTCTGTCAAAAACGAACAGGGAGCTTCCTTCTCCCTCCACCAAAGCAGGCAAGTCCTCTGGTGGAACCTGGAGCTGTACTGGCGAGTCTGATGGAGCAGGACCCGGCGAGAGAGCTGTGTGCCCGTTAAAGAGCTATCACCTTTCATTTGAGCTGACTTTTTTTTTTCAGCAGCAGAGAAAATGACACTCGCACGTCTGTATCGCTTAGCAAGGGAAGCTTGTAAATTCTATAGCATCTTTTTGGGTGAAAACTTCTGTGAAAATGATTTTATGATTTATGGTAACTTTGTGGAGGGAAAAGAGTGTTTTGCAATCATCAGCTCTTTTAAAGGAAAGTAAGGCTTTCTGCCACACAGGGCTGAAAGAAGCAGAAGCACATTTTCTTGGCCCTGATCCTGTGCCGATTTCCTGCTCTGCACTCAAACATTGCAGTTTCAGAGTCTCCCAGGCCTTACAGGTTTCTGAAATCATTAAGGATGTTGGTAATGTTGTATTTAACCCTGGTCCCTTATTCCACTGGGATTTGAGAAATCTAATGGCAGTGTGTTACATGTCAGCTTCCCAGAATGGAGAGTACACGCAAACCCCGGTGCAGCAGGGTGAGACTATCCCTATATTCCTCTCTGGCGAGGGCCTTGGAAACCCAGAACTAATCTCTCCTGTTTACATGTGAGTTTGAGCATTGCTGAACAAGCTGCTTAGCACTGTGTCTGTGGCTTTCATCTGTTGTTCTTGCCGCAGTTGGCATGTACCATATTGGCTGATGTGCAGCAAAGAAAATAGCCTTTGTGTGCTAAATGACTAGTCTGTACTTATGCAGATACACAAAAAATGAGTGCCCTCCAGGAGGTGGGTGGTCGTGAAATTCATACGATCTCTGCAGGAGTCTGGCCTCTCTCCCTCCTCTTTTTACCATAATAAAAATTCAAGGTTTATACAAAAAAATCAGAGTTGAGTTTTCTGCCAAGTATTACACACATAGGCTCTTCTACCAACAAAATTTCTATTGTGAGGCCAGAGCCAGACCAGATAAGATGAATCTCTCATTTGTACTTTGCAGTCTCCTTTACCATCAGTAATAATAGGACTCTGTGCTGTGGAGCTCAGGAGGTTGAGGAAAGTATTGAGCCGTTCTTGTAATTAAAAAAAAGTTTCACAGTGTGCATACAATGCTGTGAAAGCAATGCAGCTCATTTGGAAACAGCCAAATTGTTCGTTTAATTCTTTGCAGGTATAATAAACTTCAGCAAATGGAGAAATGCAGCAGAAACTGTGCTTTGATTTTCGTAGGATAACTTGGTGAGTGAGGCTTTGGTGGGATTGGATTCAAGTCTCAAGGCAGCGGATCGGTGACTGGAGTGGTATCACCTTACTCTAGCAGGGAGTCTGAGGTACGGTTTCAGATGGTGTCCCAAGGGCGAATGCACTTAAAACAGAATAATAATGTGCTTTCCCATCTTTGCTCGCGGCTTTGTTTCTTGTGTCTCTCTGGGCACCGAGTTCTCCCTTCCATGAGAAGCCCACGGGAGTATTTTTGCTCTTTGACTCTGGCATCTGGGATCTCTCTAGGTTACCCATCACCTTCGTGCTGTAACTCCTCTCCTTCTTCTTTCCCAACAACAGCATTTGCTTTTCTTGCTCCTGCCTCTCTTCCTCCAACTTGTTTACGTTTTCACTGCTGTTAGGTCCAGACTTGTGCTGTGGAAAGATTGCCCATGGTATCAGCCACGGTAGTTCATCCGCAAAGGAGTAGGGACATTGTACTTGTTCAGGTGGGTGTTTCTGTGCTACAGCACCAGAAAATCCTCCTTGCTTCTGCTGCTCCCCCCGTGGCTGTCAGCAGGATTCCCATCAGTCAAGCGTGGAGATGCCTGCCTTTCCACACCGCCGCTGGTGTCCCCGCGGGGCTGGCCACGCGCTGCGTCACATCCGAGTTTGCCTGCCAGTGCCTGGCCATGTCTGTCCTGTGCTGTCACCTCTCTGTTGTTCCTGGGGTGTCTGTCGTTCCTGGGATCTCCCGAGTTTTGTGTGGCTCTGTTCCTGCAGCACCTCCACAGGGATGCTTCTCCCAGGGGTCCTGCCCTCGGGCTGGGACATGTGTCGAGGATCACCCCTGACGTGTGTGTGAGCTTTCTGTACCAGCTTTGGGCCCTTGGGTGCTGTAGTTTGGGATGGCTGTTGCCTTAATTCTCTGCTCCCTTGGGCTGTGACTCTCTGGACCAGTTCTTGCCTTGTTTGGGCCATTTTTCCAATTTCTGCAGCGGGGCTCGCCTTGGCTTGCTGCAGGGGACAGCCACCATCTCACTCCACAGTCCTGAGTCCTCTTTCAGATTTTTTTTTTTTGGACAATTTTTTCCCAGCAGAAAAATGCCTCTGCAGGCTCCAGCACTGGAAAGACCCTTCCTAAAGCGGGGAAGGAGCTGTCGAGGACAGGGGTATGGCCCCGCTTCCTATTGTCCCTGGGCACCTGCCTTGGTTTAGGAGGCGACTCCTCTCTCTCCTTCCCTCGTTAGCAGGAGTCAAGACCAGGCATGAATGCAAGACGGAGGGAGCTGTCGGAGCCGGCGCAGTATCGGGTTCTCCCTTTGCTGTGGTTAGTGGTAGCTCTTACTCCGCGAGCTCCCTATTTTTAACGTTGCCCTGGGGCAGCCCTGGCTCTGGTAGCTGCCGCCCCCTTGTTTCGATGGATATGTGACTCTCGGGGAGGCTTTATGGCCAGAGGAGATGGAGTAGATGTTGGATTTGACCGTCTGGGCCTGACCCACGTGACGGATGAAAGCGATACTGTGCGAGAGCCCCGGGTGGAGTGCGCTCTGCAGTAAGCGCTCAAATATGTGGAAGTGTTTATAGAGAGCTGGTGGGGTGGGTGCAGCCGCAGAGCGAACATCCTTCAGTTCCCTGACGCTGGGACTCGGGGACGGGCAATCCCAGCTTGCCACGGGGACGGCCGCCCTGGGCTCGGGGATGGAGGTGCAGGGTGCCCGGCCAGCTGCGGGACTGGTTGCTCGCACTTCACATTCTCCTCTTGCCTTTCCATGGCTTTACGTGGGATTTCATAACGTCCTTTCTCTTCTTTCCCTGCCTTAAACAAAGAAAAGGCCTTCGGATTTCCCTGCTTCTGTAGCTTCGTTACCTTCTAAATCTAGTTGCATCTACTTTTAAGACAGCTTCCTCAGTGTCCCCCCCGAGCCGCAACCTCAAATTCAGATCCCAGCCCAACTGGGCCAGCGTGGTTATTTTCTGATTAACTTCTCGCAGGCTGTCTCCTCTGTACCCATTTCAAACAAAGTGGTTTCAGTAATTACTGACTGGCTGAATTTGGAAAGCATTCGCGTGAATACCTGCGCATACGACTGGGAGCTCGCCTTCTGCCCAGGGTTGTAACAACGATGAGTGCTAAGTGCTAGGAGAAGGGGAAAAAAGAAAAAAAAAAAAAAAATCTGTATTTTAGCTTTGCCTATTCTTGTTTTATCTCTGCATGAACAATATTTAATGTAGAACAACGTCTGTATCTCAGTTATTGTCCAGCTGTGTGAGAGAAACTGGATAAACTTGCTATGTTTTATGCTTCTTGCTGATTTCAGACTGATTTTTTTGAAAGGCAGCTCAAGTCCTCCAGCATTCTCTATGGGTTAACTTGGGTTTTGCCTTTTTTTTTTTAAAGCTTGGTCAAATATTATCCTTTTCCTTTTAAAATACACAACTAGATAACAATTAGATGTGCTTCCTTTTAATGAGGGCCTGGTTCTTGGTATGTGTTTTACAAGTGCTAATCTTGGTTAAGAAGATAAACAGCTGTGATAGGAATTCCTCTAACATGAAGATCATTAAAGTTTGTCTTACATTAATAATACTAGCATAGTGGCCAAAATAATTTTTGAGAGCTAATTAATTAAAACCTCTATATACTTTTCTCAGATTTCTCTGGTATTTGACAATCCAAATCAATTGTAAATGTTCTGCAGCGCTGTGATTCTGGCTTTTTAGGAGAGAATGCACATGAAGTTTTACAACAATACAGAACCGATGGGTGTGTAATTGCATTTTGCTCTAAGATGATGTCCAAGAGGCTGTTTAACAGGTGAAGAATGTCAAAAGATAGACATAGCAATGACTGTGTCGTGACTAGATTAAGTTTTGGACTTCAAAAACATCTAGACAAAGCCCTCAGAATATAATTATTTGCATTTTTTAGATTTAAGATACAAACTAGGAAGAGCTGGAATTTTCTGGCAAGAACGGCAGCTTCCCGTATAGTTTGATCGAGGCAGAAAAATTCAGCTAACAAATGCAGAGCACAAAATGAACTAATATTGTTTATCTTGTTATTGTGGCTCTCTGATTCATCGGAAGCCATCATCTGCTTTCACTGCAAAGAGAATGAAACAGCAGGTACGCGCACAGAAAGTATTTTAACAGGCTGAGAGCACAATATAAACCTAAAAGGGACCATTGGAAATAAGGGCCAAACGTTAATGGCAATACTTGACTGCCGCAGTTTGCCGATTGCTGGAGGGGCTCACTGCTGGAAGGGTGATGAGGATATGGGCTCAGCGCTTGCTGTATCTGTGAAAGCCTGCCCTGGGTTTCCTCCCGTAGCGTGGCTTCGTGCTGAGCTCCGGCAGGCTGCCAGCCTTGTCCTCCTGCTTGGCCGAATGTCCTCTGCTCCGACGGCAGCTCCAGGTGCTGGCCTGGGGACATGGCGCTCTCTACGGCTGCTGAGCCCTGTGGACACCAGCGGCACGGTGCTGATCACACCAGTCTGCCGGAAAAAAGGTTAGGAACGGCTATTTTGAGAGCACAAGGCCCCGCTTCTGGGAGCGAGCTGGAGAAGTTGCAGCCTATGAGAACTTTCCTGGGATAAAGCTCGCTGTGAGCAAGCGTGGCCTGCCTGTTGCATGTTGGCTGGCTGGGTTTGCAGTGACGGGTTGCCGTCGGAGAGGGCATGCTGTGCCTGCCGAAACGGCTGCTGGAGCACGTAGGTGACGCTCGCCAGCCGGTCTGGATGGAGGTTTGGGGTTCAGGACTGCCCGTGGGAGCCCCGCTCGCAGGTCCCTGTCGGAATTGTCATGTAGACGTCCACAGGTGTTTAAATACTGGGCTAAACTGAAACTGGTTCATTGCAGCCACAAAGGACTGTAGCTGTTATCTGTTAGCTTAAACTGATAAAAAATACCCTGATTCACCCAACTGATTTCTAGTAACTGTTTTGTTGGGTGAAGAGCTCCCTCGCCTGCAGCGCAGGGCAGCGTCTGCGGCACGAGCGCATTACTGTACAGTGAAACCTGTGCAGTGTGCCAAGGAAGTACTTCTAGGGCAGAATACAGCTGTGCGGGGACGCCGAGATCCCATGTGTAAACGCGTCCCCTTTCCTTACCAACTAAAGCCAGGCAGCGTTGTAAAGGCTTGTTTTACTGTTGTAGGTGTGACTGTGCTGAATGGTTTTGATGACACAACTGTGTTTATTAAAGGATCACGCTTCTTCCACGGCACAACTTCATTTTCAAGAGCGCAGAAGTTTGTTCCGAACAGACAGATGGCCTCAAATCAGCTTCTGCTACAAACGACTACTTGAATCTTAGGTACAAGGCATGATTCAAACCTGACTGCTGGAGGTGCCAAGAAAAAAAATGATAGCCGCCAGCGTTGCAGTCTGTTGCCCAGCTTATTCCCAAAATCAGACTCTTGCTACTGAGAGTTGACAGCGGGGTTCAGAGATGACAAATGATCAGAAAATAACACAGTCTGTGCAAGTCTTTGGTCTGAACTCTGTCCAAGCCGTCTCTGCAGAAGAGTCGGCATCGGCCCTCTGCAAATGCTGCTCTTTGGTCCCAGAAGATACAGGTCACACACAATATTTATGATTAATCCTCACTGTTAGAGCATGAATCTTCAGCAAAGGATAATTACCTTAATTAGTTCTCGGTGTGTTGTACTATCTGTGGAGAGATGCTTGCTTACCCTCCTCCCCCGGAGAGCTGATCTCTAAAGGACCTATCTGAAGCGGGTGAGAAGATAGTTGTGTCCCTACGGCACAGTGCAACGCTAAAAGCAGTATGACAGAACCAAGTACGGGCCAGGAAGGGTTAAAATCTACTGCAGGGCTTGGGCTAAATCTGCGCCAAGGGCTGTTTGATACTCAGCTCAGTTTAATGATTCTAAGTTTCCTTCTTGGTTTAATTTAAGTATTTAAGAACCGGCTATTTGCTTTTTGCATTTTATTCCAATACAGTTAATGAATACAACAGCTCATTTCTGACTTTCGCCTAAAAGCTCCCATTGCCCAGGAAAGTCTTTGAAGAAGCAAGCAGCCCACCCCTTCCTTGCACTCTCTTACTTCTGTTTGTTAAATTTCCATTTGAGCTTATCTCTCTACACACCTGGTTCCTTACGCACACTTCAGAAATAAACCGGAGTTGTACAAATTCTGTACTTTATTTTTCAAATTTCCTAACAAAATGCAATTCTGGCTTCCCCTTGCTGATCACACTGGTCTTCCTTGAAATGAAAGAGCTATTTCTAGCAGTTCTTTACCCAGTTCCTCATGCCTTCCTCCGGTGCTGAACTCCGCAGACAGCTCCCTGAACGTGACACAGATTCGGCGATGCTCTATATGCTTGCGGTAAATCGCGTGTTTCCACTTGTACCGTGCGTCACCGTACAGCACCACCAGAGACCTTCGGGGTAAGTGAATGGCAACAGTCACCTCTTTACTTGGAACAAGCCTTGGGGATAAAATGCAGCTGATTCCCTCTTCGCCTGAATTTTTGCACGCTGACGTCTGTGCAAAAGATCCAGGGGGACTTAATTCCCCGTTTTCTTTACTGAAAGTGGGAAATAATTGGATGCTGTCCTCTGAATCACAAGACATGGATAGGACGGTTTTTGAGAG